TATATATATATATATATATATATTTGAATATATAATTGTGTGCAATTGGATGCCGATAATATTAGCTTGTGTCGAGATCATAGCACTTTTTTCATGAACGTTAAAATATATTCCAGAATACCCATTTCATATTGTTAAAAATGAGACATGAAGAAGTAATAGTCTTTTAAATGTTGAATATTGTCCCAGTACTTCAAAGTACCGCATAAATACTGTAGTTATTATTGAAAGTATTTCAACTCGTTCCAATCTGTAATGCTGCGAGGCACTTAACAACACAATGTATTTGTATGAGCGATGGTAAACACGCACACTTCAATAAGGTATACTAATATTTTCGAATACTGTTTTTCAAATATTGAAATTCAACTCGTGTCCTTTCTCAGTTTGTAAACTTTGCTACACAAACCATAACAACAAACTAAAAAAAAACATTATCCAAGAAGGTTTGGGTATTCAATACATAGGGCAAATCATTAATTTACTCCTTGATAAGAATGTTTGCATATTTCATTACCGGCTTGCGTTTAGCAAATTTTGGGTTACCTTTTTTGTAAATATAATTATTACTACCAGTAAGCTCAAGTTCTTTAATAATGCACTCATAATAATATGACTTGCACACAAACACTATATTATTGGAATCATATCAACCACTGAGATCAGAGATGCTATTAAGTGCATCAAGATCTACAAATACTTTGGCCGTATGTTAATACATGTTTCAATTTGTTGGATTAGACAAAACTCTTTACTTTGTTCAGCTTATTGTCTGTATATTCTATCGAGTCCGTTACGACTTCAGCTAATATATTTAAGTTCTCTGAACATGTGTCCACATGATACAATCTTTTGAACAGTATCACATGGAATACTATTCAGATAACCAGGAATAACATGACCACAGGGGTATATTTCAATAAAGCGGTAGAGCAGCCAACAACAGTTGAATTATGCAAGAAAACTGTCCACATTAAAGTTCTGTAAATCTCGTTTATAACTGAAAACAAAATATTGCCGACATTGATAGCACCAATTCATTGATCGAATTGTCTTGAAATGTAAGTATAAATAATACTAACCGGTATGTTTTGTTTTAGGTCCATTTCTGACAATTCAATGTTATATAACAAGTCATATCTCGATACGCAGACAATGTGGGGGTTACTAATATGCAAAACAGCTGACTGTTCACTAATCTGTAGGATTACTATGATAGGCTTAATGCCAAGCGACATGAACAAAAACTTTAGTGTTATGTCAATAACGAACAATTACAGATGAACTGGGACATTGTTTTGATGATATGAATAACACATTCTGCACAATAAATGGTGCAGATGCACTGCCATGTCTACTTATTATACTCAATTATTTAATATTGCTATTCAGTACATTATACAAAACGATGTCTACAAATTAAATTCCTTATAAAATCACAATCTTCAGACAACACTGTGCGTCATTGGATGCTAACGTCTGGCTTTGATCTTCAACTTGATTCCATTGGTTGCCTTTAACACTAAATATAAAGCTGGACTAACAGTGTGCGTGGGATCAACCTCAAGGGTGTATTTACGCAGGATTCTTGCCAGTACCACCTTCTCCTCATTCAAAGCAAAATTCTGACCAATACAATTTCTATAGAAAAATTATAACAGAATGATCAGAGCCGATCGAATGAATGAAATCGACAGTTAGATTTCTGAATAAATAAATATGTATATCAACCAACAATTGATAAACATGAATAAATATCACATTAAATGAATTCGAAAATAGAAATAGTAGAAGTAGCATCTGTATTTAACGGCATATACATGACATTTAATTCATTACACGTAATGTTTACACGCCTTTGAAAAAAAGCACTACAATGAGTGTATACCTAGGTCCCGCAGCGAAAGGTAGATATGCATATGGGTCCATGGTAGCCACTCGGTCTGGGTCAAATCTCTCTGGTTTATATTCCTGTAAAATAAAACGTTATACTTTGATTTCAGAACCTTTGCAACGGGCAGATTTTAAAGCATGGAACAATGCTGGAAAGTTATCTCTACGATAAATCACATGTAAATATCAACAACAAAAAATGATGCATATCAAAATTATGCAGATATTCGAAATATTGGTTTAATAACCCTTCAGATGATAAGACTACCCGACTTGGTCAATCGATTAGCCAATTGCAAGACTCAGATTTATCGCCATAAACTGCTAGCAGAAATAGTGTACCTCTCCTATGCTATTATAATGAATTAAACATACTATAGAGGCGATGTAGTGAATTGAAAAACAATGAGTTAATTACCCCCAACTTCAGTAAATTCAAACTGTTGTCAATTCTGGTTTGCTATGTTTCTTTCTATGTCAGAAAAAAATAATTCTATCAGTTGTTCGATATTCAGGTTATATTATAATCATGTCCCCGGGGTAATTTCTAGAATGCTATTTGAAGACCTAAGTGGACGAACGTACAACTTTAGACCACTCAAACAAAACACGTCGGTTCGTAGGTTTTTCTAATAAGTCAAACTTAAAAACAGGAGCAGAATATTTTGTAAAAACGGATGGACACAGTCTGTAATACAACAATAACGATTAAACAAAAGCGAACTTCATATTTGGGACTCGGTCTTAATTATAAATGGACGTTAGCTTCACGTCATTTCCTGTAATGACAACACCCGAAAAAATGTTGTTTTTTTTGGTGGAGCATATCACCAATCAGCCCACCGGCTTGTAAATGTATCAGACTGGTTTCTATACATTCAATCACAAGCCCAAAACTTGTTTATTCTAGTATCAAACTGAACAAAGCAGTGTTTGAAATACAAGCATGTCATTCCCTGCAAGTAGTGGGAGTAAATAGTTCTTTTGACTATAGTATATGCAATTATTTAACTGTAAATGTCATTACATTCAAGTTAAAATCATTAAAAGAAAATCTGATTGTAAAATATAGCTAAAGGCAGAAATGGTCGGCTTGCAGTGAATCAATAAATTGATTGCAATAAATAACTCAGTGGCTGCTGACAAAATAAATATTTTTTTTGTATTCAAATTATTCGTGAATGCGTGGCTGGGACACATTCCTGGAACTTAGATATGCGCATTTAAACGAAGTTTATTCAACTTATGTGTACAGTATCATGTAAATGCTGTTCTGCTATAGTAGGCACTCAATTATGGTATGAACTGCTATAGTAGGCACTCAATTATGGTAGGAACTGCTATAGTAGGCACTGCAATTATGGTAGGAACTGCTATAGTAGGCACTGCAATTATGGTAGGAACTGCTATAGTAGGCACTCAATTATGGTAGGAACTGCTATAGTAGGCACTCAATTATGGTAGGAACTGCTATTATAGTAGGCACTGCAATTATGGTAGGCACTGCAATAAGACAAAAAAAACTTGCCCTATACTAATGCAAGAGAAATTTAATTTAATCGTTTTTTTATGTTGTTTTCTTGGCTGATCAATTTTGTTCAAGAAATTAAGAAATGTTCTGCCTTGTTATTCCCATGACAAAGAAAATCTTCGACTAAAACTTTCGAACATTTCTACTTTGATTGAGTTACTACTTTCTTTTTGAGTCGAGACCAGTGCTTCCTCTCGGTCGATACTATGCATTACATACAATATCCAAATGACAAATGTTTCAACACTTAAGCACTCAATTTGTTATGTTTATAAATCATCACTCTACTAAGTATGATAGCTCATTTTCTGTTCAAGTCCCCCAAGTGTAACAACAAGTTTATAACGCCAGTCAGTCCAATGTAATTATTTTCAGACATTTAAATGAAGCAGATACACATTTTAACCAGCTTTAAAAATAAAAAAAGTTGATCCAATTTGGTCCATTCAAGATTGAATGTCACTTATATGGATTGCATTTATTTTTTATGTATTCCATGTCAATATTTTGTCTTGGATTCTGTGTGAATTGCAAGACAGAAGGTAAATTGTGCGTCTCTATAACATGCATACCCCGATTTTGATTTAAAAACACATCTGTTAAACTTCTGTTTACCAAGAACATAATGTCTTATTTATTAGTCTTTCCATTGAAATGTTTTTACACAGTGCACTTTGAAACATTCACATTTAATAAATCGTTCATAATTAACAGAGCCGCTAATTTGCAGCTCTATTGTTTCTGTTCCAATGAAGACAGTAGAACCATACGAAGACATTTACTTAGGATGGACCTGAATAATGACCCCTGAAAATTTCATTGAAAACAAATGAAGTTAAATAGTTTTAAAGTTGAAATTTTTAGTAAAAGATGAAACTGAGACAATCGCCATTTTGTAAAAAAGTTATAAAAAAAATCATTCGTTTCATAAGTGTGAAAGAAACTCATAGAAATACAACATACACCGACATTTGCTGATGTTAAATCGTCAGGTAAAAAAAATCAACCTTGCATGAAAACTTGTCATGGCGTCGTGTTACCAAACCCATTGAAAGGGGGGGGGGCACAATGGATTACGTATAACCGATGAGATATTCATACAGTTATATAAACATAGCGATCGATTTTGGGTGGGTTGAGTCTAAATTTACCTTTCCTCAAACCTTTAAAAAAGCTTTGTATGACGCAGTTTCCGCGATCTCCGGTTAAATGAACCATGCGAAGTTAGAAGGGAAGTTATTGGAAGGGAAACTATAGTAAATCGAGGCAGGTTTCATTCAACTACAGACAAGACGGGTCGATGAAAATTAAACGAACCATGATCTCTGGAAATACCTCATTCATAGAGTGCCATAGCACCAAAGGTCACCGAGCACGGACGTACAACGTACTTTGCGACATCGCTACCGGTGCATGCTAGCTGACAAGGAGGTTTCCGATTAAGGTAACCAAGATGCCATCGCAGAGTGCGTGATTTTTCCGCGGTGTTTAAAAACAGCATCTCGTTGCCGATTTTTCTGTAATTTCCATGGTATTTTTTTATTTTTTATTATGCGAGCATTTTACGTTTGTGTACAATTTGTTATCGATGACAGCAACAGCAGTGGTGTCTGTCCATTGCATCACAATGCACGGCACGGTGATCGTTACAGCGAAACGAAAAATGTACTTTAGAGTACAAAATATGTGGAAACATTTTTTAGTTTCGCCCACAATGCAAACAATTAAATCGCGCTATCGGGCCTTCCTCCTTTATGAATTATAAATAACAAATCGAATTTTTTAACAGTATACCACTGGAAGCTGCCAGGCGAGAACTTGTTGACACATTGCAAGATAAGGGTGAAAAAGTTTACTAATCTTTTACAACTGTATGTTTTGTTTCATTCAGCTTGCATGCTGGGAGCGTCTACGTCTTGTGTTTGTTTGTAGTTTGCGAGGCTAGTCGATTGCGCCGACACGACAGGAAGTTACACACCGATGCTCCGTAACTGAGGCCAGAAACTCATTTGCATATAACATCAACAGTGACTTGTCAATCAAAGAGCTACGCAAACAAACTTTCGGGACTTTTAATCACATACGCGTGCCTGGGTTCCCTATATTTTAAAATTACTTTTTTGAGCATGATCCAACATAGACAAAGCTCCAACATTTGAACACAATCTAGCCAAGACAGTCTGAGTAAGAAAAAGCAACAAAAAGATATTTCACTCTTAGTGCTCACAAACCTGCATCTCTACCTTAAAATGGCGGGCTAACCCACTTTGAGTACTCAATTGAGTCAGATTATCGGACAATGTTAATTCTAGTGAGGTTAAATCGAAATAATATTGTTTAAGTGCAATTATTTAGTAATATTAAATAAGCTCACCATATGCTCTGGCCACACATCCGGGTTATGGTGCAACCCATAAATGTTGATTTCCACTCTTACTCCAGGTACAATTGTTTTGCCATCTACCTTGATTTCCTTATCGGCTGTACGTAACACTCCACATACTGGTGGATACATTCTGTTCGATTCCTTGATACACTGTGTCAAGTAGGTCAACTTGGCAAGATCGTCCCTGTCAACAAATCAATAATACCTGGTGTTACACATAATGTGTTTCATTGATCGATACACAACTCCTTGATCACTATAAAAATAATTGATGTTTTTATCAATCAGAACCACATCTCTACCACAGTCTACTTGCTACTCTTGTCTCAAAAACAACCTATCATGCATTATATGCAAAACTGTTTTATTTATAATTGAAATGACCCGACATTCAATGAGTTCGTCCTGTATATAGGGAAACCTCTACTGACAATTTCATGAGAATGCATTCGTCTCTACTTTAGTTACCTTCCCTGCAGATATACAAATAACAAAAAAATGCAGATTGCGAACATATAATCACACAAGATACGAGCTGACGAACCCTGTCAAGTGTTTCGCCGCTATATGCAGACAAGTACCTTGTATCGTAACACTAACCAACCGTCATATGTACATGATGGCAAACTGAGACAACATTTGAAGCTCAAGTTTAAAGATAATTCCGCTCTTTTTTCTCTTGTATATTACCGTAATATTGGTGGAAAACTACTGCCATAGTCACATGATTTGTGGTTATGGATGGGAAGCGAGGGGTTGTTTGCATATGTAGAAAGTTTTTGTTCGTTATTGTTTATACGTGATTCACTAAAATTAACGGTTCAGACCAATACAATCTCTATGTGATACAAGATTGTAATGCCCTCACCCTTTATGTCATTGACATGATCATAATAATAATAATAATTGTTAAACCCCACGGATCATTATATGTGAACACAATAAGTCTCTATTTGCTGCCAGAGTTAAACTGCATTCTGGCATGACCACTTTAAAACAATATAAGCAGCATATGTATGGATATTATAAATATGAATAAATATAAACAAGTTAATATAATATAATAATAACGGCGTAGAAGACATAATTATCAAAGTTATTCAGATATATGTAAATATATCAGAAGAAAACACAATATTTCTTACTTCATAATCATGCATGTAACCAATGCCTCGGAGAATTTATCAAATCAGCGTTTGGAAAATATTGGTTAAAAATTACGCAATTGTTTCAACCGCAAGGTAACGACAATGACTAAAATAACATGTATACGATAGCAAATATATTGATATACTCGGACAAATATACCACGTGTTAATTTTATTTTTCCTAATGTTTAGTGATTTTGCATGTGCACATTTCCCGGTAAAATCTTGCAAAGGTTGTTGTTATTAGATCCTTACTTTGGTGCCAACAAGTCACATTTCATGCTGAACCAGCTTCGAAGAGTCCAAACAAATAAACATATTACGCTAACCATGAACGCAAAATACAGTACATTACTTACCAACGTATTTCGTCCGTGTTCCTGTCTTGCAGTAAGTCATCAATTTCTTGTTGACACTTGTATTGGAACTCAGGATGTGAGGCCAAGGCGTAGAGAACCCAGGACAAACTACTAGCTGTGGTATCATGACCTTCAAATAAAAACGTGTCTGCCTCTGATCTAATCTCCAAGTCTGTTAACCCCTCACCATCACTGTCACGTGCAGTTAATAAAATGTCCAAGAAATCTAAATAAGTTTTCTCTGTCCGTTCTACGGTTCTGTCTTCCTGTTGCGGGATGCCAAGAAAGGAGTGAGATAATAAGAGAAAATGGTAGACCGTAATAGACAGACCTAGAACTGAATATAACATATCAGATTGCAACCATTACACCACGATGTGCGGCAAAGGAAAAATACACTACTATTCTACGTGAATTTGTGAAAGTACGTATTAATATGTGAATACTGTGTTCAATAAAACAGTTTGAGAGTGTGGCACTTTTTATATATGTCGCATACGACTTATTTACCACTTCAGTGTCACTGAGAATGTTTTAGAACCGTACTGTGTCTGGGTGGAATATTCTAGATTTATTTTAGAAACTGGTTGAATAGGTAATAGAACACTGTAGGAGGCAATAGAAGGTAATGGAACATTCTAGAAATTTGTAGTAAGTGCCAGACTCATTATGTATGCTGATGTAATGGTCTATTTATAGACAGTGTGGGTATATATAGGGGAGTTGTTCAGTACTGAGTTCAGATCGGAGATCTCGTTGAATTGTGTTGGAGTTTAAGTATCTAGTTATTGGAGTAGTGGAGTTTTACCGCGTTATTATTATTATTATTATTATTATTATTATGAAAGTAAATTAAAAATAAATGTCAAGTATCTGATCTTTTTCCACAATTGATATCGTTTATAGCAGAGTATTGATGTTCTATTGATGTTACCTGTATATGCTTATATATTATCAGACATTCGATTTTTTTGGAAATGCTAGAATTGTTGGTTTTCAAGTCTCGGGTACTGGAAACAAAATAAATCATGTTTGTAATATCAATAACTGTATTAAGCTTGGTTGGTGTAGCGATCTTCTGTCAGTGGCAGTGGTTGCTTAATACACATAATTGATTTGCTTACGAATTTAATGAGGCGGCATTCATTTTTAATTTTTTAACATTTCTGTGCACCTCATGTTTAATTGTCTCAAATTACAGTATTTATGTATTATATTAAAAATGCTTTCTTTATTTTTTAGTAAACGCTTTTTTTAAATGCTTTGATAATGATGATGAACAATTATATTACGACGTTTGTGATGGAGTCAAAAATATTTAATAAATAGATCTTCATAAATTATTATATATTAATCTGAAATATGTATCGAAATTTTTGATCTGAAAAATACACAAAATATTATATATGATTTACAAATAAATATAACATAACTCCATGAGAATAGAAGAGGTTACTGAAAACGTTGATTGTTTATAGATGCATTGTGGGTAAGGGTGGGTTGGTGGGTGGTTGGTTGGGTGATGGGATGTGTATTTTTGATTTATCAGTCTGCTGTTATTTACTTACCAATTCTTGCCGACGACGTTTGATAATATCGTCAGATGTCCCATGCACGAAATCGCACGATTTCTTGAATCGTTTACCCGCGCTCGTCAGGTAGAATATAATATCATTGTACCACAGAGGGGTTCTACGAGTAAATAAAATAACATTTATATTGTATATTCATATTTATAATCATATTGTATTTATATAGTCATTTTGTATTAGCTTCTAGCTTTTAAATTTACACTTACATAATACGTTCTTGGGCAATGTCTGCTAATTCACGCACAGCTGCTACGTATGGGTTGTTATCTCTGTAAACACAAACACAAACATAATAATTATTCCGGAACTGTAGAAAACGAATAGAGTCGCTTATTTGATAAATATACATGCAATACATCGGTTATGTTACTAATAATAACAAAAAGAGTGAAAATAGACTGTCGTCATTTTCATACGGTATACTGTGAATACCTACCCTCCAATCTGACAGTTATTGTCCTTCCACGTGAACGCACATCGTAATAGTATATCCAGTGTAAGAAGACTGATATTTTGAATCACTTCGAAACTCTCACCGGTCTGACTGTATTTTTCCATTTTATTCTGTAACATACAACTAGTGATCTTTGCTATATTCACAGAACGGTCATCAGATTGTGTAACCGATTGTTTATTCTAAACATTATATGGTATGACTCGATATTGCTGCTTTTTATTGCGCCACGGGCCACAGTATTCGTCACTCTCACCATAGATTTTGTCATATTATTACCGTGTTCAAACCCTTCATATACATTTAGAAAAGGCATACGTTAGAAAAAGTTCCGTATTGTGCTTACTAATTATTGTTCCTGGTCTATAATAATAATATATTCCTTCAAACACAATACAACAAATTCGTATACTTTTTATATCCATTCAACTGAGATATTGTATTTGACGTTTTGTTTCCACATGCTCAGGCAAGTGTAACACAGTAAATAACATTTAGTATGATGAATTCAGTAACTATTGAAAACACACAGGATAAAAGTCGCATAACTGACTTGATCCACACTATGATGAATCTGACGCATTTTGTCAAAATCAATAACAATATTAGACTCTGCCATCAATGGATTTAATTAGAATATATTATGAAAATGAAATGTTTCAAATTAAAACAAGTAGACGGATACGTGTACGTGTGTTACACATATATGCAACGACGGAAAGCGGGAATATATATCATAAATTTTTTTTTAACAAATCTCAAGGACAAATTATTTTCTCTTCAGTTGGAAAATCACTTGTCTCCTGCCGATGTAATTTGCAGCACGTGCAGCAACAACCTGCAATATCCAATAGTTCTGACTGACATATGCAGTACATATCTCCCCTATTAGGTCATCCTTATATAGAATCCCCTTAAATATCTTTCAGAAGCAATACAAACGAGCTTGATTAACACAAACACATGTAAAACTACGGTCACCAAAATTCAATATCCGGTTATGCAAATTATTCTTACCAGTAGTATATCAACCGATTGGTTGTAAATCTTAGCGTATGGTTTCAAAATCTCGAAATGAAACGCCGGTGTCAGTAATTTGCGGCTACGGAACCATCTCTGCCCGTTGCTAACCAACAGCCCCGAGCCTAGCCAGGGCCCAAGTACGCCGTATCCAGCAGAGTTCCCGGGCTTTGTTTCTGTAATCAAAGCAATGTACGAGTCATAATGTTGCTGACAATTTACAAGCAAATACATTATACCTGTGCAACGTTCCCATTTTTCACAATAGTGTCTCGAAAAATCGACATCGTAATATGCCAATTAGCAACTGTAGTGTCAACGACGTCATTATAGTAATGCTCTTGTTTGAATAATATTTCATCTTAAGTTAGTGAAATAGGTGGTGGCTAAATTAACTAAATAACATGCAGGAAGAAGAAGAGACAATAAACACAATTGTCACCATCTTTTTCCAAAATACCGCCGGAAATATATAAAAAGGAAATGTCTATTCGATTAACAATAATTACAAATACATTCCACAAACATCGATTTACTGTGTATTTATTACAAATAAAATATATATTTCTGAAATAACAGCAAAATAATTCTCCACAAAAGTTTAGGTTAACAAACTTAGAAACACGTCTAATTACGGATGAATAGTGGTAAATTTCAATGACAGGGAGAACCATCCTGTATTTTGTACAATCTATTAAGAGACTTTCACCTGTAAACCCGTTAATTTGAGAAGGAATAAATAGGTAAAAAATCGCATTTTTTTCTTATTCATGTATCTTGTTTTAATAAACACTAGTATGTCTTACATATGTTGCAACACTGTTTTCAGACTCTGCAGTTTTGCAGATAAATTGGTCTCCCGATGGGCGAAATAACCCTACCAGCGATAAAAAAACATCTTCTGCTACAATACAAACCGATGCGTTTGTTTAATGTAGCATACTCAATAACGAGTGGAAACGTAATTTGCACAATGATAATGCTTGTATCGCTGACGCTTGTCAGAGTGAGGAAGTGAAAACCTGAGGTATATGCTCAATCGAGCAATGTATTCATTATGTATATGACAAAATTAATTTTTGTATTTCATTTGTTTTGTTAAACAGTTTTGTTAACAATTCACACCAGTAACATTGGTGTTCAACTTACTTCAATGAGTTCTATTAATAAAGTGTGTGCATGAAATTAAACAACATATACAAAATATTATCATATTATATTGTTATATTTATTAAACATCTAGTCTCATCCGTTGAGACCATTAATTCCACTATTATGTAATAAATATCTGGTACACTTCAAAAAGAAATTCTTTTCGTTTCGTTTCACGTTAAAATGTAAATGTATTACTCTCAACACCTTTCGTCAGAGTAGTAACCCGTGTAAATAATAAATGAACAACAATTACATTCCACTTACCGATGTTTTTACAAACTGCTCTCAGTAATGTTGGACTGTTGCATATGATGGATGGGTAAATGGGGCCGTACCAAAACTGATAACCATTGGTCCATTTCTCCGACATCTGGCGCCGCCAAATTAAAGTATCTTCTTTGTTTTTAGGACACTGTGTAGTATAAATACAATATTGCGTACACAGTTCAAATTGAGATGTGCGAGTGTGTACAGAGAGTGTTATCTTATCTTTGCCTTGCGAAATGCACGTACGCTTAATTTGTCCCATGTCGTGGGCAGATGGAAATGTTGATAACTACTAACTAAATGAGTTCCACTGATTCAATTATACGCAGTACTGTGTTCATGAAACTCCCTGTTCGCAGTAATTATACTTTGATGTAAACAGATTATGTGCTTGTAGAAAATTCATATTGTTATTAACTGTGTACCTACGTAACGCAGACTACCGGTGAGCAGTTCGGTTTGTAACCCTGGCCATTGCTGTACGCATCTGGTCTTCTTACGAATATCACCGATGAACGTTACCAGTGCAATCACATATTTAACAACCGCTGTGATAACTACTATGTACACCACACCATTAAATAAACTAACACCGGGCAGAGTAAGCATTCTGTAACTCTAAACAAATGCAATACGACGTATTTAAAACGGAATCGAGGTACAGCCAGTGTACTGCAAAGTTGTCAACATGTCCTTGATGGACCTACCAAATGTGTTTCAATGACGGACTTTGAACCACAGCGTGATTGCGCTTACCTGCAATAAACCATTAATAGTACTTATGTTATATATGTGCCGATAAATGGAGACTTAAGCAAAATGTCAGCAAATTGTTCTAGAATTTCAGCATTGAATTTTGGCAAGTAGTATTTTTTTGCTTGCATTTCGTCTGTCTGAAGGTACTGGAAGCACAAATGTATCATTTGTATACAAAGTACCGCCCGCTGATGGCGCTCTCCATATTCTGCCACGTTATAAGCGCGTTTTAATTTTTCGACGGTTTTGCTGTGTTTATGAATTTAAGAATATATACAGCATTTAGTGTTTTATCTTACAGAACGGCTACTGGTTTAACACTGGAAAATAAGGCAGGCCTTAGGCTTATCTGAATTTCAGATTTGACTAAATTTTGTGTTTGATCACAAACTCAATGTGAAGAACGCAGTTCTAACTGCTTATACCATAATAATATTGGTTTTGCGCCGAAAAGTAGGGTAAACAAAATAGAGTTCATTTCAATCACCCCAAGATCAAACACAAACAAATTCTCGTTAAAGGTATGACAATTTGTTGCGAAAATGTGTCGCTGCTGTTGTAAAAAAAACATAGCACTGCTGATGTTAAAAATAGTGACCGACTGTGTATTGATCACGTGACAATGTTTTGCCCATACCCGCAACAATGCAACGTCTATGGCACCAAATCAACTATACTCCCTCACAGTAATAACAAATAGCTACACTGTTACACTGTGAAGCAAGTAACGATGGCTCGGCATAATATACTATACGTACACTAATTCTACTAACCTCAGTTCCCGAGTACATAAAAACATAGTAAAATATACAAATTCGTGTAGTCTCGATCTCACGCTGAATAGACTACTCTTAGACATGCCATCGTGACAAATCTCACTGAAGTCTCATCGAAATCACGTCAGTACCAGAGAGTTGAGCGAGAGTTAGCTTAAAATAAATTTAGAACTGTGTTCGTTACATGGCTCCTCTGGATTGTAATAAACAATACAAACTCTAATATACCTTCTACTAAACACTGGCTAATATATTCAAATGCTAAACTATCGAATTCAATATACAAAGATTACAACTCTGGTAATCTAAACAGGTTATAAATCTTAAAGTTCAGTCATAGATTAAAGTGATCGTTTATAGTTCAGTTTAGTACAGTTATTGGCTCTCTCAACGGGGGTTGTGTTCTGATCTATACAACTTGATGAGATTTGTTACCGGTCGATCATCTGGGGGTATTCTCCTCGATGACAAGAACTACATGTATTTCTCCTGTAACCAGATTATTTCATCTTGCCATTTTTGTCCCAACTGTAAGGTAGGTAAATATTCCAACCGGCATCTACGCCAAAATTCATTGGCAAGATACTGAACTCTCTTTCTACAATATAAATCCTGACATACACAAGAACCTGGCAGAGTAAGTAACTGGCTTGGTGTAAGAGGTTCACCAGTATCTGTAGAAGACATATCTGCATAGGTCAGAGGTCTGTTATTCACAATGGCCTCAGCCTCTGTCAAGAAGGTGATGAGAAGTTCATCATCTAATTGCTGAATATGCTTTTCAAAGATTCCCGACAAGGCTGTTCTCACTGACTTTATAAGATGTACCCAGACGCCATCCATATGACTTGCAAGAAGTACATTAAATTGAATTTCTATCCAATCGATGCCATCCTTGAGGAGCAGACTCAAGTTCACCTTTAGCTCCTACAATGTTGGTACCTCTATCACATCTAAGACTTCTGACTGGTCCCCTACGGCATACAAATCTGCGGTATGCATTCAGGAAGGAATCAGTGCCCTATCTTTTTGGTTCACTTCATCTTACTCGCGTATAGAAAGAATCTAAATAGTTAACACCGTTATAAATGAATGGTGAATGTTCTGCTAAGCAGTCTTCTGGTAAGTCTGACATCTTTTGTGCTACTGGTTTGCCACAAGAGGATGCTTAAGATTAGGTTGAAGAGTTGCTCTTCGTACTCTGCCGCCAAACCATCAGGAGCAAGATATTGATCTAATTTTCGCAACCGACTGGAGTCGATATGGTTCCATTGTAAGACTTCAGTGTTATGTCTTATCTGTTTATGCAATTTGCTACTTGCGTGCTGCATTGGAAATGTACCCCATTTCAACCATACTGTGTGTCCAGAAAATATGTTTGGCATCATAATCTAACTTGCGTTTCAGGAATTAACTAATTTTCACAGCAGTGACTGCAGCTGTGAGCTCTAGTCTTGGTGTGCTTAACTGTTTACTAGGAGTTACACGAGATTTAGCCATCAACAAAATGCTATAAATCTTACTATCTGAATCAAAAAAGCATAGATATGACCGCTGCCATATCCATCCTGTGATGCATCTAATGAGAAGTGATGCAACTCTCTCACAATTTGCTTCATACATACTTTCTGGTTTCTCGCATATTGGTATGTAAAACTGTGCTCATGTAGGTAACTGGGTTCTCTATTTAGACTACTGTATACATATTTCATCAGGATGACCATCTCAGCAAAGTATTTTCCTTCCTTCTAGGAGGCATGGTGAGATGAAGCCCGATGGGTCACAGATTGTTACTACTGTGGATCACAGATTGTTGCTACTGTAGATAAAATACCTCTACGAGTGAGTGGAATATCCTTTAACTCAATACATAATCTGAGCATGTCATTCAGGAAGTTGAAAGACTGGATGTCTTTGGTGCAATACCCTGGTGAAATTGTTGTCAACACCTCTGTATTAGTGGATAAGAATTCATTAAGTTTAAATCCTCCTTTTCCACAAAGACTAGTACTCTCCCCGAACAACTGTACTGCTTGTTGTGTAGACTTTATACCATCATCTACTACTACAGTGTACAGCGTCATCACCCCGTTTTCCACACTCTTCAAATAAGTCTGTTGTGAAACGTAATGCAAAGTTGGCTACTCCAGATGAAGAGATGGCCCCAAAAAGATGAACTCTCATACGGTATCCTACTATGGGACCATCAATGTTACTGTTCTCAAACCATAGGAATCGAAGATAGTCTCTATGTGGTGGACTTACTAATACCTGGTGGAACATTCTCTCTATGTTGCATACTATTGCAATCAGTTCCTCACAAAAGCGACATAATACTCCTACAAACTATTTGACTGATCTGGACCACTAAGCTGCTACTGTTGATACTTTGAGCGTATCCGGTTTCTTGGGGTGATAAACTGAAGCTAGAATCAATGAGGATTGTCACTGCATGGCGTTCGAGTCCACTCACCCAGATAAACATAATTATCAGTAAAACGTGGAAACTATGAACGAAATACAACACTAAAACAAAAGTGTGTCTGTTCGTGACACGATTTCCTGCGTTTATGAAGTGAAACGTTCAAAATGCTAACAGATGATCATAAAAAAACACCACAATGATTACAGAAACCAACAATATGTTATAAAATAAGATAACTCACCGTCAAATTGAACACAAAGATATGGTGCTCCAAATAAACACGTTTGACAAATCCAGTCAAGTCAAAATCGCACTGTGTGCAATACTACCGCTCCCATCAGGCTTACAGTGTGTTCGGAAATTATATATTTCCCAAAGCTTTCGAATTTCCGAAACCATAGTAGTGAGTCCGTTTTTTTATTCTCATTTGGATTTCTATGAATATTCAATAAATTCGTCCAGTTTTGTACGCACTATTTATGACGCGTACACGAATCAAGCGGTACGTTCGCGTTATGAGGGCTTCGGGTCAGGTCTCCGGTCAGTCATATGTTTATTAAATTGTTTCGTTTCTATGAATATATATATTTAAAAAAATATCTCCGAGGATATATATCTGCAAATCTAACACGTTCGAGTTTTTAATGGCTAAAGCCTTTAATTTCTTATTCTAATGAATTATCCGTAGGCCTTCTGATCAGTCGTATAGTGTTAGTGCTAAAGCACCTTTCACAATTGGTGCCAAACAGACTACAACGGCTTGCGACTCGAAATTTTTCCCGTTGTACGACTCGTTGTAGCCGTTGTACCACTTATTGTACGATCCAGATGCGACAAAATGGTCGCATCTCGGTCGGGAAAAAAACCCGTGCTGCTCCGATATTTTGAGCGACTGATGCGATGAAAAATAATAGCACGACAAGGCAGTACGAGTGTTGTGCGACTTTGCACGCACTCGTAAGACCCCGAACGAGTGTTGCACGAGTATTTTCATGTCGTACGATGATGCGTCCTGTCGTACGAGTCCGTTGTACCACCCTAAGACTATTGGAAGACCTGTCTTGCCTCCTTTGCAACGTTGTACGATTTTTTTTCACCCCCAATATAAACTCGAGAACTACTGAGCTTTCATCCCAA